CTCCGTCCCAGGCTCACCTCCTTGCTCTAGATGCTCCTGGCTCAAATATCCTCTCCTGGCCTCCCCACTGTCCCCCACCCGCCTTCCTTTCCTTCTCTCCCAGCAGGCATTTCCCAGAACCTTCCCAGACTGGGCTCTGCACCAGATTCCGCAGTACAAGCCACCATCTCTCCTGGGAAGGGCCCCCAAAAAGCATCATGCCTCCTTCACCCCTCCCAGTTTATACATGGGACGACTGACAACCAGAAGAAAAATGACTTTCTGAAAGCCAAACATGGGGTCTGAGCCCGAGCATGGCCAGGGCAGCCTCCCTCCACCGCCCTGCTCAGCTGCACCTGCCCTCTGCTGGGAAGGCAGCCCTCGGTCCTGGCGTCCTGGCGGGCCTAGCGTTAGTGACTGAGGCATGCAGGCCCCAGGGACCCTGTGGAGGCAGATGATGACAAAGGCAGGCTGTGCTCCTTTCTCTCTAAAGCCACCCTGTCACAGGCTCTGACAGTCCACCTGGCTGCTCTCCACATCCAGCTCTTGTCCCCATGCCTGGGCCTGGGGTTGTCATTCCCTGATGGGATACTCTCAGCACCCTTGGTGAGTTTCCTGAGTGCCACCAGCCATCCCAATGGGCAGAGCCAGGCAAGCCCCACCCTGTCACTCTCTGCTAGCCAGTGCCCACATTCCCTAGCCTGGCCCACCCAGACCCCTAGATTTAGACCCCCTGGACATGGGCCCCTTGGACCTAGAACTCCTGAACATGGACCCCTGGACCTGAACCCCCTGGACATTAACTTGGACCAGGACACCCTGGACCTGGATCCCCTTAGACATTGACTTAGACCAGGACCCCCTGGACCTGGACCTCCTGGACATTGACCTGGATCTGGATCCCCTGGAGGTGGACCCTCGGACATTGTCCTATACCTGGACTCCCTGGACCTGGACCCCCTGGACATTAACTTGGACCAGGACCCCCTGGACCTGGATCCCCTGGAGCTGGACCCTCAGACATTGTCCTATACCTGGACTCCCTGGACCTGGACCCCCTGGACCTGGACCCCCTGGACATTGACCTGGACCTGGATCCCTGGACCTGGACCCCCTGGAATTGTCCTGGACCTGGACCCCCCGGACCTGGACCACTGGACATTGACCTAGACCTGGACCCCCTGGACCTGAACTCTGTGTACCTGGACACCCTAGACATGGACCACTGGACCTGGGCACCACCCCCCAGCCTGCCCAGACTGCCACCTATCAGACCACCAAGTCACAGCCCAATACTTCCTCCTCCTCTACCTCCCACTTTCCCTTTTCCCTCCCTCTCTTCCCCCTCCCCCTGCTCCCTCAGCCCACCTCCCTCACACAGGGCCTGCATCTGATACATCTTTGCATTAACCACGATGCTTCAAAATAGAGCTCTGGGACAGGTCCCAATAGACATCCCTTACCCTCAAGTGACTATCATTCTCTCTGATCCTTGATTGGCCTCCAGAAGCCAATCATAAGCATGGCAAAGATGATATCAGTTTCCCTCCATCCCCAGTGCCAGGGCAGGACTGGTCGGAATAGGCATTGCCCAGCCCCTTCCCCAACACTCTACAAACCTCAACCCAGTTGGCCCAACTATCTAAGGAGAAGGAGGGGTCCCTGACAACATGCCCCTTGCACGGCTCTGCCCTGAATCTCTGCATGCCTCAGATCCCCACGTGCCCCAGAACCTCCATGTGCCCCAGAACCTCCACATGCCCCAGAACCTCCATGTGCCCCAGAACCTCCACATGCCCCAGATCCCCACATTCTCCAGAACCTCCACGTGCCCCAGCATCTCCACATGCCCCAGAACCTCCACGTGCCCCAGATCCCCACATGCCCCAGAACCTCCACGTGCCCCAGCATCTCCATGTGCCCCAGATCCCCACATGCCCCAGAACCTCCATGTGCCCCAGCATCTCCACATGCCCCAGAACCTCCACGTGCCCCAGCATCTCCACATGCCGCAGGAGAGCAAGGGCCTGGCACAAGTAGGTTACAAATGTGCCATTGAGGACCACATGCCACCCTCAGGCAGGTGTTCCAGGATAAATTCCTGCCCATGGAGGTGCTGTGAGGATGCAAGCAGGGAAGTTATCCCAGAACACAAGACAGGTACCGTGGGATACCTGTCAGACCGGAACCAGAGCACATCCACAGGGAGCCCATTTTGGCACCATTTCTGATGCACATGGGGCTTAAGGGGCTCGCAGCAAAACCTAAAAACCCATGCAGTGCTATAACGATGGGATAAAGACAGACTCCTGGCAATACCACAAAAGTGAGTCGTCGCCAGTCAAGCTACTGGTGCATTAATAAAGGTCTCAGGAACTGAATCTAAATAGAAATCCATTTTGGTTAGTTTCACCGGGAAACAAAGAACATGTAGGCCTGTGTTTCTTTTGTCTCAGACTTCCAGACGCTGGATGATGATAAACAGTGAAACGGATGCATTTCCGAGAGAAAGGCCTTTTGCAGCCAGTCATTGGGAAGTGACATACAGGCACTCTCATCCTCCTTGGCAGAAATAAGCAGCAACCTACCAGCCAGGGGCTGCAGTGGGCAGTGATCAGTCGGCCTGGGGAGGCTGTGGGTGCCAGGTGGTTCTGCCCCAGTCCTTGTGGTTAAGCAATTCCCTCCCCACCCCCAGACCTCAGTTTCCTTATCTGTGAAAGGAGGAGTGGGGCCAGGTGACCTCCAAGACACCTTTAGTGCTAAAAACCTACAGGCCTGTTCTTGGCCAACCACCTCCTTCAAGTCTTTAAGTCGCCAGGGCCACTTGCTATCCAAACCCTGCCCTTGGGCCCCTCCATTCATCATTACTTTCACTAATGATAAAAGAGCTGATACACTGATCACATGCACACACACTAGGCTGCTCTATCTTCAGGTGCTGTAAGCGAGCCCCGGGAGGCACTTGTGTCAGGCACTGGCGGGCGCCTTCCCATAATCCCCTTGTTTGAGCAGGAGCTCTTCCGCCCCACAATTCCGTGCCCAGAACAAGGTGATTGGGACTGCACTGAATGGAATCAAACTGATAGTCACGGAGCCCTTTACAGGTTGCTATTATTGTACCCACATTGCAGTTGGGGGAACTGAGGCCAAGGGCCAGTAAGTGCCTTACAATCTTGGGATGATGATCTGGGATTCTTGCCCAGACCAGAAATGTCCAGTCAAGGGCCAAGTACCAGGGCACACCTTCCTGCTGAGTGGGTGCCTGCTGGACTTCCCATCCCCGGGGCTCTGCACAGTGTCAAATGCTTCCTGAAAAAAGGCTTGGAATTTTCAAAGCTGCGCCAGAAGCCAGCACCTTCCCTGCTGGCCCCCTCAGGGCCAATCATCAATACGTGGTCAGTAGGAGCCCCCCCGCCCCGCTGGCCCTCCTCCTTCCTTCCAGACACAGCAGTGCCAAGACAGATGTGGGCTCCAATTCCACCTCTGACCAACTGGCATGTGACCATGAGCAGGTTTTGCCTCTCTCACTGGATCTGCTGTGAGACTGGGCCTGCCTTCAACCCCGGCTGGGGAGCCTGAGCCCATGTTCCATTAGAGGGGGACAGTGGGGACCCTCAGGATAAGAAAGTGGCCCTCAAAAACAGTATCCACAAGAGACCCAGGATTATTAACATGGCGGATTTCTGTGCACGTTGAGAAGCTGGTGGGCCCTAGTCCCATGCTGGAGGCAGTCAGGAAAGCCTCAGCTTCCCTCGGAATGGAGTCAGAGGACTTTCCTTCCACCGTAGAGACCAAACTCTCCCTCCGAGGGGCCCTGCATTGCAGCTTGCTGAAATCCCAAATAAGCATGCTCCTGACTTCTGGAAGCTGCCACCCACCCTTGCACTCAACAAGAAAATCCACCCCTTCCTAGACTGCAGCTCAGGAACATGAAAGGAAGCCACACTTTCTGCACACCAAACCTCTTCAATGGAAGGGAAATGGCTATTGAGTTTAGCCCACCCTTTTCCTACCTCCCTTACCAAATCCCAAACCATCAAAGCTGAGGAAGTGACTGCAAACAGGCTCAGCTCTTCACCATACAGCCAGGAGACCGGGGCCCATGAAGGGAAGGGAGACATCCTAAAGGATCCGGGGACAGCACCCCTGGAGGACAGACCCTGCGTCCCTGATGCCCAGGTCAGGGCCCTCCATCACTGGCGTCCCTTCCGGAGCTGGCCAGGCTCAGGGGCAGCCTAGCAGCCCCCAGCCCTCAGCAAGCGCTCTCCCACCAAAGCTCTCACACTCGGCACACGCACACATGCCCATGCACACACACACTGACATGCACTCCGCTTATTTGTGGATAATTTCTTTAGGAAGATTTTTCAAAACAAGCTTTCAATGTAACCCGTTCCCATTTTGTGAGCAATGTTTCTCCCCAGAGCCCTGTTGCTGGAGAAGGGATTAGGAGAGAGGGCCCAGACAGAGGCCGCGCTTCCCCTCTCTGCCAGCTTCCCGACACACAAACGTCACACACTCCAGGGCTCCTCTGGGAGGACCAACGCTACCCAGTCTGGAGTCCTCCCATCCACATCCCTGAGCATGGCAGGCACACACTCGAGGCCAGGATGGGGAGCTCAGTATCTCACAGGCAGCCCTTGCTGAAGGGAGAGGGCCGGACCTGGCCCACCTGTGCTGGCTCAGACCACACCGGAGGCTACCGCAGACCAGGGGGACATCGCAGCTGGGAGGATCGCGGCTGCGCAAAGCCCGCCAGCCGCAGAGCCCCAGGAGCCGCAGAGCCTCAGGAGCCGCAGAGCCTCAGGAGCCGCTGCGCCTCCCTTGCCAGCCCTAGTGGCGGTCGAGGACGCTCCCGCGGAGCCTGGGGACCACACCGGGGTCACCGTACACCTCTCCCGAGCTCCGGGGCTGAGGATGGGACGCAGCCCAGGTGTGGCGCGGGAAGGAGAGGGTCAGCGCGAGTCTCGTGGCCCCCGAGGCGTGGGGCTGCCCCCGGTGCGGGCCCGACGCCCCCTTACCGCAGAGGAGCAGCAGCAGCAGCAGAAGCTGCGGGCGCCGCCGAACTCGCGTCTCCATGGCTGGCAGGCTGGGCCTCTGTGAGGCTCGGTCAGCTGGGGGCGCTGTGGCGGTCTGGGGCGGGGCCGGGGCGGGGCCTCGGGGAGCCCGCCCCAAACCACGCCCCCGGCCGCACTCCGCTCCCACCTCATCCTGGAGTGCTGCCCCTGGGATTGCGCGCCTGAAATGCGCACTATCCTTCCGCTGGGGGGGTGGGCAGGCAAGGCAGGGTGGGCAGGCAAGGCAAGGTGGGGGGCCGGCTGGGGTCTGGGCTGGGGTCCCAGCGTGGATGAGAGTGGCGGGAGGGCCTGGGTACGAGCTGGAGGGTAAGCTGGGGTAAGGTGGGGTGAGGGCTGATGGTGGCTGGGGCCGGCGGACTGTGAGGGCAGGCTGGGGTGCAGGCTGGGGAGTGAGCTGGGGTGAGGGTGGGGCAGGGCTGATGGGGGGCTGGGGGGTAGCCTGGCGTAGACTGGAGGCGGGAGGACCTGGGCGCAGCCTGGCAGGGAGTAGCCCTGGGGGCGAGTGCCTGGAAGTCAGGTAAACTGGGAGTACAGACGCATTTGGGAGTCAGGTCCCAAGCGACAGGAAAGTGTATGGAGGAGGTTGCCATGTGTATGTGGGGTGTGTGTGTCTGTGTGTGTGGTGTAAGTGTGTGGTGCGAAGGGGGTATTGGGAGTGTGTGGTATGTGTGAGTTTGCGAGCCTGAAAGTGTGTGTGTTTGTGAGTGTGCGCTCAGGAGACAGTGTGTGCAGGAGAGAGACTGAGGGGTGCCGCAGTTGCACACACACGCACACACAAACACAAGGGACCAAAACCAGAAGCAAATTAAGAGGCAGGAGAGTGTCTGGCGCCCCCAAAGACCTGGCCTTGCAGAGCATCAGAGGCCCCAGGGGGAGGAAGGGAGGGAGGGACTCAGTTTCTCCAGCCACAGGTCACTTAGCGAAATGGTTCACCTCTGTCACCCTTGGCCCCTGGAACAGGCCCTGGCCTCAGTGGGTACTTGGTCATGTCTTCAGAATTGTCACTAGTCAGGATCATTTGTCCAAGCCAGGGGGACCGCTCTGCCCTCTGGGGCTCACAGTCAGCCACAGGAGCCTGTGCTGGGGCACAGGCTGAGGAATGCAGACTCTCCACCTGGACAAGCTCCCGCCTCTCTGAGCTGAGATTACTGCCACCTTCCCAGAAGCTGAGCTGACCTTTTCCTGGCTTAGAAAGACCCACTTTATTTAATAAGGTCCTTATTAGAAAGCAGAGCTTTCTGTGCTTTTTCACTGTAGAAATTCTGATTAGAGCCAGAATTAATTTGAGGGAGTCAAAACTAATTAAAATTGATCAGTCACCCTGCCTTCTGCCTGAGGGGGTAGAGGCAGGTGCAGGGATAACCACAGAGCCTCCGGTGACACAGATGTTGCCAACAGCCAGGCCTTCCACCCACAGGTCAGAGGTCATAAAACAAGCTGACTTGGGCAGCAGGGCACCAGCCCTTCCCTACACACACACTCTGAACCAATCAAGGGACACAGGGTACAGTATTCATGAGGCCCTGGGGGCTTGATGGGGGACATGGTTGGCTCCATGGAGGAAGGGTGTTGGCACTCAACTCTGCAGGATGGACCGGGCTTCCTCACAGCAGAACCAGGGTGGGGCATCCCAGGCAGAAGGAGAAGCACAAGCTGGGCCCACAGTGGTGCCCCCAGGTGGTGTCTACAGGTGGCAGGTGCTGTAGTGCCCACCACCACAGTCCTGCCTGGCCTGGGGTATTTGTCCAAGCACAGTCTAGGCCCAGGTGTCCACCCACGTCCCAGGATGCTGCAGAGGCACAGACTCTGGCCCTACAGCACTCCCTGAGAGAGCCTGAGGCCAGACTTAGTCCCACAGCTTGCAGGCCAGAACGGAGGGATGGGGTCACCGGGTGGGGGGCGGGACAGACCACACCCTGAGCCTGTGCCAGGCTGGAGGGCTGTGGCTCAGCACCGACCAGTACTTGAGAACAAACACCCGACTCCAGGCAGGACTACAGTGATGGGCACTACGGCACCTGCCACCTGTAGGCACCACCTGCAGGTGCCACCGCGGGCCCAGCTCGTGCTTCTCCTTCTGCCTGGGATGCCCCATCCTGCCTCTGCTGTGAGGAAGCCCGATCCATCCTGCAGAGTCCAATGCCAACACCCTTCCTCCATGGAGCCAACCATGCCCCCCATCAAGCCCCCAGGGCCTCATGAATACTGTACCCCATGTTCCTTGAAGGCAGGGCCTCTGCAGGGCAGGATCTGCAGCTTGCAGGTGGATTTAATGCAGGTTGTGAGGAGTGGAACCATGGGAGAGGCCAGCCTCATTCTGTCCACGGTGCACCGCCCCACCCACATATAGCTGTGGCCATAAATGATATTGACCACAGGTGCACCCTGGACAGTGCTGCCTCCCCGGCCTTGCTCCTCCACGGGTGCTGCCCAGCCACAAATCCCTGTATCTGAGGTTCCCTAGGGTTCTTTCGCTAATCCCCTGTTACGTTTCATAATTCTTTATGCCAGACTTCCTGATTCAAATTACTGTGAGGTCTCTCTCCTGACAGAACCCTGACAATTATCACGATATTTATTCTGTAATTCTTCTTACTCTTAAATAATTGTAAAAGAACATTTCTTGGCACTCAAGTAGTCTCTCTTCTAAGAGGAAGACTTGTGATGAAATAATATCAAGATGTTACTACCAGATCAGAGGAGCGCACCGCCTCCCAGCCTTCAGCCTCTCTGCTGGGTGCCATCCCGGCCACCTGAGCGTGGAGCCAGCTGAGGCTTTGCATCCGGCCCTGCGTGTTCTGGGCTCAGACGAGGAAGGGGCGGGCTCGAGAAGCGCATTCCTGGACACTTGTCTCCCCCTGCTGGACAGACCTTTAAATAACTGCAGCGCCATCTTCATCATTGTTGAGGTGGTCGAATCCCCTGCGGCTGCAAGGTCCCGGTGACACCCAGCCAGGGACACCAGCAGAGGACCTGTCTCCAAAGAAAGAGTGATGAAGAATATCCCCAAAGAGGGTGCCTCTGCCCCTAGATGTTTCCCACCTGCCCCATCTCGGGACACTGCTCTCCATCTTCTTTGTTCTTTGTTTAATTGTAGTAAAAAAAAAAAAATCAATTTTAGCATTTTAGCCATTTTCAAGTGTGCCATGCAGTGGCATCAGGCACACTCACATTGCCGTGCTACCGTCACCACCACCCACCTCCAGGACTTTTTCGTCTTCCCAAACTGAAACTCTGTCCCCATTAACACTGACTCCCTGTTCCCCGCCCCCAGCCCCTGGTACCACCATTCTACTTTCTGTCTCTATGAACTTGACCGCTCTAGGGACCTGTCCTTTTGTGACTGACTTATTTCACTTAGCATGATGTCCTCGAGGTCCCTCCATGTTGTAGCCAGTGTCAGAATCTCCTTCCTTTTCAAGGCTGGATAATATTCTGTTGTGTGGACAAACCACATTTTGTTTATCCACTCACCTGCTGCCCGTTTCCTTTTTAGTGAACAAAGCAAGTTTACTTACATTTGATTTTATTTTTGCAAAATCTATCAGAAAATGTTTTGAGGAAAATACACCAAAATATTAACTGTGGTCATTTCTGGATCTGGAAAGATTTGAAATGATTTTTAATTTTCATTATTTTATGCTTGTCTCTGTTTTCTCATTTTCCTACAGTGGTGTTTGTGGTGTGTGGTCGGGTTTATGTAATATATGTGTGGTGAGTTTGTATGTGTGCATGTGTGGGTGTGTATACATGTGTGGGTGTGTTGTGTAGTTCTTGCATGTGTGACATGTGCATGTGGGATGTATGCGCACATGCTGTGAGTTGGTGGTATGTGTGTACGGTGCCTGGGTTTGTGTGACTGAGTGGGTGTTCATGTGTGTTACGTGTGAATCTGTGCAGTGCATGTGTTGTGTCTGTGAATGTGGCGTGGGGCATGAGTGTGTGCGTGAGTGTGGTGCGAGTGTGTGCTCAGGCAGACCCTCCCTGGCCCCAGTTGGACAAATTGAGCACAGTCATTTCCTGGAGCAGGACCTTCCCCCTCCCTCCACGTGCCCCAACCCTTAGCTCCATGACCCCCTCCCACCTCTGCCCTTCTGCCACTGGGTGGCATGGGTGAAGGGTCAGAGCTGGCAGGAGGGTCCAGTTTGGGGCCCTGAGCACAGCTCTTTGCTTCTTTACCCTTGGTGAGCTCAAAGTTAGATGTGACAATAAAAACACCTGTCTGAGGGGTATGTGAGTTATGAGCCTGAATGTGACAATAAAAACAATGTCAGGCTGGGCGCGGTGGCTCACACCTGTAATCCTATCACTCCGGGAGGCCAAGGCAGGAGGATCATTTGAGGTCAGGAGTTTGAGACCAGCCTGAGCAAGGGTGAGACCTCGTTTATACAAACACAAGAAATAAAAAATTAAGAGACGTTGAGGCTCCAGAAAACAAACAAACAAAACAAAACAACGTCATGTGGGAAGGGCGTTCCTGCCTCCCCCAGGGCTGAGGAAGGAAAAGTGCTTTGGAGACTGGAAAGCACAATGCACGTTTAGGGATGTCCTCTGAAGAATGCGTTTCCCGTCTCCTGGGAGAGGACACTGCACTCAAGAGGCTGATGCTGACGGAGGGAGGGAGGCAGGAAACCCCTTCCCACCAAGACACTGTGGAGCAAGAAACTGTGTGGCCAAGGCCTCGGGGCCCCCAGGACATCTCTGTGCCCCAGGGCAACTGTCTTAGGGGAGGCCTGAGGAAGCACCTGCCCAGGAAAGCTCGGTGCCGCATGCTCCCTGCCGATTTGGAAAACTTGGTATCTCGCGCTCCTCTACTTTGGTTGCATGTCATGAATCCCTGAGGAAAAGATGAACCTCTGAATTGTAATAACAGAGACAAGGAGACCAGTGCGGTTCACGGTTAACAGCCCCCAGACGGCCATACCTCTCCTCCAGAACCTGGGAGAGTGTTGCCTCACGTGCCAAAAAGGACTTTGCGAATGAGATGGTTAATTTCATATG